GAGGACTCTTGGGGATCCTTTTGGGACCTCTTGGGGCCTTTGGGAGCCTCTTGGGGCCTCCTGGTGGCCTCTTAGGGCCAAGGCTCGAAATTTGGACTTGATTTTCCCTCTCTGGGACCCCTCTTGGGCCTGTCCTGGGGCTCTTGGGTCATCTTGGGGCCTCCTGGGCCGTCTTGGGCCCTTCTTGGGCCGTTCTGGCGCTCTCGTGGGGGCCCGTCTTGGGAGCCTCTTCGGCCGTCGTGGACGCTGTGAAAGCACACGAGGCGACTATGCTAAAAATATAAAGTTTCCCGAAAGGAATGGGACGGTGTTTGCTTCTTGGGGCCCTCTTGGGGGGCCGCTTGGAGGCCTCCTGGAGCGTCTTGGGGCGCCTTGGGGCTGTCGCGGTGTCATCTGGGGCCGTCTTGGAACTTTCGCGGGGCGCTTAGGGGGGACTTGAGGGCCAATCGCAGACTATCTGGGGCGATCTTGGAAGATTCTCGGGCTTTCTGGAACCTCCAGGGGTCGCCCAGGGAGTGTCCTGGGGAGAAGGGAAAAGGGTCAGGTCGGGCACGTCCCCACTACAGGCCGATATTGGGCGAAAAGTAACAAAACTCAAAAAATACTCCCACAAAGTGAAAAAGTCATCAACAAATGATCTCCGCACTACTTCGCCGCGACGAAAGTTCGGCCAAAATCCAACGCCTCCCGTTAGGCGACGGGGCCCCAGTACAACGTTGGCAGTGGGCCCGTTGGGCCGCGGGGCCCCAGTACAATGTGAGGTTGAAGCATTTTTCGCTCCAGTCTCGGGCGGCACCGCCCTTTCGAAATCGAGCCCGCGGGTTTCGAAATCCAGTGGAGCTCGCTTTGGGGAGGAAGTCCTAGGCGAGAGCTGCATTTCGAAATCGAGCCCGAGGGTTTCGAAATCCAGTCGAGCTTGTTTTAGGGAGGGCGTCCTAAGCGAGAGCTGCATTTTCGAGTTTTCGGGTCAGGGCTTTTAAAATTTGAAAGGTCAAGCGGTGTGGCCATTTCGAAACGGCGGTTTCGCTTGATACTTCTCGAAAAAAAAACGAGTTCGAACGATTTCGAGACTTTCGGGTTAGATTTCGAAATTGCGCTCCCGCCTAGGACTTCCGCAAAAATGGAATTCGAAACCTTTCTGCTTCGATTTCGAAATGGCGCTCCCGCGCGGGACTTCCTGCAAAAATAGAAGTCGAAACCTTTCTGCCTCGATTTCGAAATGGCGCTCCCGCGCAGGAATTCCTGCAAAATGAGGTTCGGACTTGTTCCGTTCGAACTCGAAATGGCGCTCCCGCCCAGGACTACCTCCAAAACAGAATTCGAAACCTTCGGGTTCGATTTCGAAATTTCGCTTCCGCCCAGGACTTCCTCAATCAAGACTACGATCAGAACCGCGACCACGACCACGACCACTACGACGACGACGACGACGACGACGACGACGACGACGGCGGTTACGTCGTTTACATGCGCTCTCGCCCGAATGCCGGCCACTCCTTAGTTCTCGCCTCACCGCCGGCCAATGTCTCGGTCTGGCCGACCGCTCTCTGGGGTGGCGCCCGGAGAGGCCCCCGGTGCGGCGCTGGCCCCCTTCCGGAGGGGGGGACGTGCCGGGGGGAGACCCGCCCCCCCCTTCAAGGGGGGGACCCTTTGGGGGGAGATACTGCTGTCACCCCCAAACAAGCACATTTTTGAAAAGGACCCGCTCGTTTGGCCTGCTTCCGCTTGGGCCGCCTGATCTACCCCATTTCCTGGTGGAAAACCAATATGTTTTCCAATCGTTTTCCGGGTTTCGACCTTTTCTGCAAAATCGTGTTTTTTTGTTGTCGCGACCCCAGCCCGGAGGCCGAATCCAAGAGGTAAAGCACGACTCATCCGCCCGTTTGGGCTGCTACTGCTTGGGCCGCCTGATCTACCCCATTTCCTATTGGAAAACCAAGATGTTTTCCAATCGTTTTCCGGGTTCTGGCCTTTTCTGCAAAATCGTGTTTTTTTGTTCCCAACCATCCTGTGGTGTTGGGTCCTCGTTTTGAAGAAACGGTCCCCGCGTTCTCCTCCTCCTCTCCTCCTCTTCCCCCTCCTCCCTCCTCCCATCAGCAGCATCATCATCATCATCATCATCATCATCATCATCATCATCATCATCATCATCATCATCATCATCGTCGTCATCAGCATCATCGTCATCATCATCATCATCACCATCATCATCATCATCGTCATCACCCACCATCATCGTCATCATCACCATCATCGTCACACCTCTCACACGTTTCGTGGCCCCATAGGGAGCTCCACCGAAGGCCCCAGTGCTGCCGCCCGCATGCGTCAGCCACACCCAATTCGGCATACCCCTCACACGTTTCGTGGCCCCATAGGGAGCTCCACCGAAGGCCCCAGTGCCGCCGCCCGCATGCGTCAGCCACACCCAATTCGGCACACCCCTCACACGCTTTCGTGGCCCCATAGGGAGCTCCACCGAAGGCCCCAGTGCTGCCGCCCGCATGCGTCAGCCACACCCAATTCGGCACACCCCTCACACGTTTCGTGGCCCCATAGGGAGCTCCACCGAAGGCCCCAGTGCTGCCGCCCGCATGCGTCAGCCACACCCAATTCGGCACACCCCTCACACGTTTCGTGGCCCCATAGGGAGCTCCACCGAAGGCCCCAGTGCTGCCGCCCGCCGGCACACCCCTCACACGTTTCGTGGCCCCATAGGGAGCTCCACCGAAGGCCCCAGTGCCGCCGCCCGCATGCGTCAGCCACACCCAATTCGGCACACCCCTCACACGCTTTCGTGGCCCCATAGGGAGCTCCACCGAAGGCCCCAGTGCTGCCGCCCGCATGCGTCAGCCACACCCCGGCACACCCCTCACACGTTTCGTGGCCCATAGGGAGCCACCCCCAGCATGCGTCAGCCACACCCAGGCACACCCCTCACACGTTAGGAGCTCCACCGAGGCCCCAGTGCCCCCCATAGGGACCCCTCCACCTCCAAGGCCCAGTGCCGCCGCCCGCATGCGTCAGCCACACCCATTCGGCACACCCCTCACACGTTTCGTGGCCCCATAGGGAGCTCCACCGAAGGCCCCAATGCCGCCGCCCGCATGCGTCAGCCACACCCATTCGGCACACCCCTCACACGTTTCGTGGCCCCATAGGGAGCTCCACCGAAGGCCCCAGTGCTGCCGCCCGCATGCGTCAGTTCGGCACACCCCTCACACGCTTTCGTGGCCCCATAGGGAGCTCCACCGAAGGCCGCAGTGCCGCCGCCCGCATGCGTCAGCCACATCCAATTCGGCACACCCCTCACACGTTTCGTGGCCCCAGCCCGCATGCGTCAGCCACACCCATTTCGGCACACCCCTTACACGTTTCGTGGCCCCATAGGGAGCTCCACCGAAGGCCCCAGTGCCACCGCTCGCATGCGTCCCGCACACCCATTTCGGCACCTCCACCAAACACAGCGTTTCGTGGCCCCACAGGGACCTCCACCGAAGGCCCCAGTGCTGCCGCCCGCATGCGTCACCCCCACCCCAGCACAGCATTTCGTGGCCCCACAGGGAGCTCCACCGAAGGCCCCAGTGGTGCCGCCCGCATGCGCCACGCCCACCCAGCACAGCGTTTCGTGGCCCCACAGGGAGCTCCACCGACGGCCCCAGTGGTGCCGCCCGCATGCGTCACCCCCGCCCATTACAGCGTTTCGTGGCCCCACAGGGAGCTCCACCGAAGGCCCCAATGGTGCCGCCCGCATGCGCCACCCCCACCCAGCACAGCGTTTCGTGGCACCACAGTGAGCTCCACCGAAAGCGGCACCCGCAATGCGATATTCACAACTGCACATGGTTGGGTCCTTCGCCAGGATAATTGTTGCGACCCCAGCCCGGAGGCCGAATCCAAGAGGTAAAGCACGACTCATCCGCCCGTTTGGGCTGCTACTGCTTGGGCCGCCTGATCTACCCCATTTCCTATTGGAAAACCAATATGTTTTCCATTAGTTTTCCGGGCTCCAGCCTTTTCTGAAAAATCGTGTTTTTTTTTGTTGCGACAACCCGGAGACCGAATCCAAGAGAAAAGGCACGACTCATTTTGACTAGTTCCGCTTGTGGTCACATTCTCGGCTCCTCTCCTCTCCTCATTTGGTCTGTCATCGTAGGCACGGGGGTGCTAGCGTCAAGGTGATTATCGGCGCTCGGCTGCTCATAGGTTCTGTGGTGCTCTCAGGCTTTGGAGTGATGCTCACGGCCGTCGTGGTGTTCATAACCAATGTGATGCTCAGGCGCTGTTTAGCTGAAAACACAAAACGGGTCAAAACTTGCGTAGCGCCGATGTATTCTTGAACTATTTTTGAATATTCCTCAAGTAGAGATACAAGCCCGATTTAAGACAATGGAGGGGCTGGCCCGGGCCCCCAGCTGGGATCTCCCTTGTCTGTGTGTACACACATATGTACAGACAGACAGACTGACAGACCGACAGACAGACAGACAGACAGACATATATATATATATGTATATATGTATGTATGTATGTATGTATGTATGTATACATACATTTGCATGTGTAAATGCAAACAACCACACGGGTATGTATGCACCCAGCCATAAGCGTACACAATCCACACATACATCCATATTCTAACACATACATACATACATACATGCATGCATGCATGCATGCATGCATACATGTATACATATACCTAAACACATGCAGGTACAAATACAAACACACAGACATGAACACATATATATATATATATATATATGTGTATATATATGTGTATACGCATGCAGACATCATGATTCAAATATTCTGCTGGACGCGGCCATCATTAGCCGAAAGCGGCATAGATCATCTTGACAATGTGCTATTGCACTGGCGAGATGCGAAGTCAAAACATGCTGGCACCTCGACACAAATCGCTGCAACAAAAGAGACGGAGAAGATGAAGGAAAAATAACGGGGAAAAAAAAGATAGAGAGACAGAGGGAAAGAGCCAAATCTTCCGGTCCAACCAATAGAAACACATGATGTGGTCGTGAAACGGCTTGCTCTTGGGGTGGTTGCGCGGCGTCCCAAAAGCCTGGCGGCCGGGGTCTGCGATCTGACCGGGCCGGCCATGGCCGCCCCGACCCCAGACTCTCGACGTTGCATTTCTGTTCACGACGTGGCCCCCGATGCCTGGAACCCGTCTCAGGAACCCGTCCTTCATCCCGCATAGTTTTGTGACGGTGCTGGGGCCCGGTGAGGGCCCCAAGGGCCGAAAACGTCCACGGCGCGATGGGGCCGGGCACCGCCGCATCCCAAGCCTTGGCGGCGCAGATCTTCCGAGAAGCCCGGGGGCTTCTTGGAGTAGAAAGTACGGGCCTTTCTAGAAACGCCCAGAGGCTTCTAAGACGTCTTCTATGAAGCCCTGCAGGGGCCTTCCAAGAAGGCCCCTACCTTCTAAGAACCCCCTGGGCTTCTTAGAAGGACTCGCCCCTGACGCCACCTCCTTGTGCGCGCCGCCGAGAGCTGGCCACATGTGTCGGGCGTTGCTAAATGGGAGAGCGATAGTTGGGGGGGACCAAGCAAAGCAGTCTCTCCACGCTCCGCTCATGATAAGTGAACAAGGCGACTGGAAGGCAAATTATCAGCACACTGCACAAAGGCGAACACAATGCCACGTCAGGGAAGCAAGACGTCGATCACTTACCGTGTGCTCACAACTGGTCGCCATCACCCAAAATAGAAGCCGACGGAAGGACGCAAGATGTACATGCACGGTGCAAGTGTTCAGCAGCGGGCAGGAGAGATGGCGAGGCAGCGCTGTCCTGCGTTATCAGACCCTTCATGAGCCTGCTGCGGGCGTACGGTCACTCTGCCCAGAAGGGGCGACAAGCAAGACGCTCGTGGCGGTCACCCAGCCTCGTTTGCACGATGCGAACACCTCTTGCGTCCTTTGCCCAATCCACGCTTCATCCCTCACTCCTTAATCCGCCGGCCCCCTTGTGGGGTAGGCGCGTGATTCGCAGTTTCCTCAGTTGTAGTTTTTAGTTTCCAGTGTTACAGTTCTGCTTCTTGCTGGTTGCTGTAACTAGTTGACTTCTTGCTGGTTACTGTAACTAGTTGATTGACCGCGCGAGGGGGGGGGAGGCCCAAACAGGATTTTTTAGCGTCCCCTGGGCGCGTTGTCTGAATTGCTGGGGGGGCTCGAAATCGACACCCCTCACGCAGATCCGCGGGGTCAGGGTCCAAAAACACATGGGATTTGCCACATTTCTGAAATTCGGTGCCACCCCTCACGCAGATCCGCGGGGTCAGGGTCCAAAAACACATGGGATTTGCCACATTTCTGAAATTCGGTGCCACCCCTCACGCAGATCCGCGGGGTCAGGGTCCAAAAACACATGGGATTTGCCACATTTCTGAAATTCGGTGCCACCCCTCACGCAGATCCGCGGGGTCAGGGTCCAAAAACACATGGGATTTGCCACATTTCTGAAATTCGGTGCCACCCCTCACGCAGATCCGCGGGGTCAGGGTCCAAAAACACATGGGATTTGCCACATTTCTGAAATTCGGTGCCACCCCTCACGCAGATCCGCGGGGTCAGGGTCCAAAAACACAGGGATTTGCCACATTTCTGAAATTCGGTGCCACCCCTCACGCAGATCCGCGGGGTCAGGGTCCAAAAACACAGGGGATTTGCCACATTTCTGAAATTCGAACCCATCACGCACATCCATCGCAAGGCGTGGTAACCCAAACTGCGAGAACTCCCTCGGCCCTTTAATCGCAAGGTGTGGTAACCAAGCCCTTAAACCATACACGTCTTACCAATCGCCAGGTGTGGTAACCCCTCTTGTGATCAGTTGGTTTTGCTGATTGCGACTCGGCTTCGCATGAAGTTTCGATACTGCTTCACGACAGCGCCAAGGCCTCATGACTTAGCTCTTCCATGGCCCATTCTCCGAGAGAGGGGGCCGGCGGCAGGGGGCGAAGCCCTTACGGATAAGGGGAACGGACAATGGCATGAACACAGCAACTCGGAGGTCCGCGCGGATTTCTCGGATGTGCGCTGGGCCCCCTCCCTGGCGCGCGGAGCGCGCCAGGGGCGGCGCCGGAGGCGCCGCTTGGGGGCCCAGCGCGGATCCAAGAAATCCGCGCGGAGCGCCACAAGTTTATGTTTATGGCGTTTTCCTTTGTTCGAACCTCTCATGTGTTCATCGTCTTCCACCTCCTCTTTACCCGAAGGGACACAACACGACATCAACATATACTTTGAGAGGTCCGCGCGGTTTTCTTGGGTCGGCGCTGAGCTCCCCTCCGTGGCGCGCGGAGCCCGCCCAGGATGGCGCCAAAGGCGCCGCCAAGGGGCCCGGCGCCGATCTGGAAATCCGCGCGGAACTCCGACGCTGTATGTGTGCGCATGCTCTGTTTGTACATGAATACAGTCGGGGCGTTGACCTAAGGAACCCCAGATAAGGAACGAGGCCCCTTTTTGTTCCATAAGTTCAACTTCGATCTCCCATCAAACACCTAAGGAATACCTAAGGCATACTGTAAAACAACTAAGAAACACTGAGCTCCTCCCAAACGAAAAGGGTTCCTTCTCACGCGCCCCGTCTGTATACACATTCCTTCTGATCTGCGATTCTACAATTCAAGCTGGCACTTCGGGCGCGAAAGGTCCGCGGGACCCCTGGGGGGACGCCTGGCTGGTAGGGGCCCTGCCAGATAGGCTAACGTCTTGCGGGTGCCTCTTGTCTCTCCCTCTTTCTCGTCGCTGCCTCGTCCCGCCTCCTGCTTCCTGTAATTTCTCCAAAAATGCCACCTTCCTGCTGTCTGCTCTGGGTGGCGCGGCGCAAGACAAACAACATAGCACGATATTCGCACATACGAGAGAACTTGGGGACTGTCGGTCCCGTGATCTCTTTAGCACGCCGGGGGTGGGTAAAGGAAAAAAATGGAAGCGATGCCCAGCAGCACATGGCGTCCCAAATCGACGGCGGCCGTTACTGGGCACGCGATTCTCTGTCTCGTCCTCCGCGACGCCGGCAACGAGTTCTGCCCAGAATGGGCAGGAACTGCTGTCAGTCTTGATACCCACGTGGACGTAGTCCACGAGTACGTGGACGTAGCCCAGGACTCGCCACTCGCCAACGAGGACGCCGCCAGACGGCTCAAGAGAGGGCCCGGAAAGCCTCCAGGAGCGGCCCCACAGAGGGCGGCCCGAGGGACCCAAGACGGTCCAACATTGCATCAAAACGGCCCCGACGTGCGAAACCGCTTGAGCCGTGCACGTCGTGTCTCACACCCGCTTGAGCCGTCCACGCTGTGTCTCACACGTTGCCCCACCGCACCCCCAACCAGAAGCCAGAGTCATGCAGTGATCGACTGAGTCCGACTGTAGGCCGATCATCTCAGCACATTCGAGCGGTAACCAAACAAATCGCAAGCATTGCGTGGCTCTGCCCCCGAGATTCTCATCTACACGAACCTCTTCATTCTGGTCTGCGATTACACCTCTGGGCCGGGAGTTTGGAATTTCGCTGAGTGCCGAAATCAAACACGAATGCAAAATACGTATTGCAAAACTCTGCTCGGGCGCGACCAGTCGGACACACCGAACGTGTGATTGTGGCGAACGTGACTGTAGCAATGGCTGCATTTCAGGCCAGCTGGAACCACGAATCCGAATAACATCCTACTGAGATGACACATGCATGTCGGCGCTCTGTCGGAGCCGAGCTTGTGAACATATTGAAGCATCAAAATTATCCTGTGGGACGCCAGGGGATCATTTTCATGCTTCTCCCACAGCAGCCGGCAAGAACCATACATCAGATCTAAGTACGGCCACTCTCAGATTTAAACTGCGAGCTTGTCTACGAATCGTCATTCCGATTGCTATGAGCCGCAGCATGCGGCAAGCAAGAAACGGTGTCCAACAAACCCGCGGGGGGACAAACGCAACCCTTGTAAGCGCCATGGCCAAACACGCGAAGGAAGGCCCTGCGGACTTGCACCAAACCAAAAGAACGCAACACTGCCGCTAGGCTTCCACGTGAGACACGAGCATCTTTCGAGAGACGCGCGCATGCCATTGAGCGGGGCCCCACTACGGCAAAGCACAAACGGTGCTGGATCACGTTCGCCTCACAAGAATAACCGCAACCATAACTTTAGCGACGAATCTGGCTCTACACTCTCAAACTGCCCATACCTTAGTGGGCCCCGGAAACGGCAAGGCCGTTTTTTACCGTTTCCGAAGAAACGTCTCTCGAAAATGGAAACGGCAACAAAAGGCGACCGGAAACGGCAAACAAACCGCTCCAAGATTGGAACCGGAGCTGGAACCGGTAAAGAAACAGCGACGAAACCAGTAAAACAACGGCGTCGGAACCGGCAAAAAACGGCAAAACAGAACCGGTAAAAAAACGGCCCTGTTGTTTCCAGGGCCCACGAAGGCCCATACGTACTTGACACTGCATCTCTCGATACAGAACGCTGGGGCAATCGACGATGCAACGCACGCTCATACTCCGCTCAAGGACACAGCGGCGCTCACAGAGGAGCGCCAAGATCGGGCATGCGAAATGACATGGGGTGGGTGCGATATATATATATATATATATATATATATATATATATATATATATATTATACACACACATATACACTTATTAATTACTTAATGTATACTTATATGTGCAAATTTGTAGGCCTATACACGCAAGAGCATGTGTACATACACTGTCATGCACGAGTGTAGACTTGTGGATTACCACAGGGCTGCGTGAGTAGAAGTTTGACGACGCGCGCTTCTGCTTCTGGCGCGGAAACTCAATGACTCTGACCGCTTGAGGCCTCTTGGGGGTCCTCCTGGGGCGTCTGATGTCTTTGGGGGGCTGCGGGGCTGTCTTGAAACAATGTTGGATCGTCTTGGGGCCCTCTTGGGCAGGCTCGGGGCCCTCTGGATCCGTATTCGGGCCTCGTGGGGTCTAGCTGGGGGCTTGTTGAGCCGTTAGGGGGGACATGGGATCGAGGGAGAGAGAGAAAGAGAGAGAGAGAGAGAGAAAGAGAGGGAGAAAGAGAAAGGGGGATATATATATAGAGAGAGAGAGAGAGAGGGAGAGAGAGAGAGAGAGAGAAAAAAAAAAAAAGGGAAAGAGAGAAAGAGAGAGAGAGAGAGATAAATAGAGAGAGAGAGAGAAAGAGCGGGAAATGAAGGAGAGTTTCAGGGGAGCAGGGGACAAGAGGGGACAGAGAAAGGGGGTGGGTGATAAGGGGTGAGAAGGGGGTGAGCAGTGGCGCGCGTAGGAAAGGGGCGAATCGAGCGGTGAGAGAGAGAGAGAGAGAGAAAGAAAGAAAGAAAGAGGATGCTGGAAGCGCGTCGGCGCACTTCAAAAAAGAGATGTCGCTGAAGTGCTTATCGAAATACCTGACGCGGCAGGACAGCACAAGACACGGCGGTTCGCTTCACACTCTCTGCGCTGCAGTCAACCAGCGGCGATCTCTCTTCTGCTTTCTCCCTCTCTCTTTTTCGCTGCCCCTCTCTCTTTCTCATTATCGTCGGCCTCGAATCCGAATATGACCCATCTTCAATACCAAAATGGAAGACAAATACGGAAAGATGCGGAAGCGAATCCGCAAAGGGGGCAACTCCTCAACCGCTTTCGCCTCTGCCTCCACCACCCTCCTTCTACTCACCCTCCTCTCCCCATCTGCCACCGTGCACGCTGGCACGTGGTAGAACGCCTTTCCTCCCCCCACGGCAACGCAACCCGACGAGGCAAGCTTGGACACCCTCAGCTTGACGCGTGCAAAGCACACATGTGAAAGCGTGATTACGGAGATGAGAAGGAGGAGAACGACGACGACCCCGAAGAGGCAAGGATGGGGATCGCGGTCGTAAAACAAGTCCCTCGCAGAAGACTATTGGTCTGCTCTCCGGAGGCCACGACCGCTAGTTCAAACACTATGGATATGCGTCCCCAAGCTTCCAAGACGGCCGAGGCAAACGATCAAAGCCACAACTATTGCCCAAGACGTCTCCAAGATAGCCCCAAGATGCCAGATGACGATCCCCAACAGAGTCCGGAAAAACCCAAATCATGACTGCCCCTGCGCTGTTTTGACAACATATGTTAGTACTCTCGCTGGTTCAGGTTTCCGTCAGCACAGGACGGCTCAAGAAGCCTCCGAGATGGCCCCAGGACGACCCCAAAAAGACCCCGAAGAGGGTCCACAGAGGGTCCCAAAACTGCCCAAGGAACCCCACGATGACCCAAGAGGCATCCAAGGCAGCTCCAAGGCGGCCCACGACAGCTCCAGGACACCCCCCGATACGGCCAAGAGGCCCACAAGATGGCGGAAGAAAGCCCCAAAGGCTGCCCGAGAGGGCCCCAATACGGCCCAAGAGGGCCACAAAAGACCCCCAAGACTGCCCCTACAGGAGCCCAAGGAAACCCCTAGACGGCTCAAATTAGCTCCATGCGAGCTCCTCAAGAAATGAAGACGACAAGTGCCATATGTGACGGCCTGACTCTTCCTCCTCCTCCTCCTCCTCCTCCTCCTCCTCCTCGTCATCATCAGCATCATCACCACCACAATCATCTTCATCACCATCAGCAGCAGCAACATCATGAGCAGCATCATCGTCATCATCAGCAGCATCATCGTCAGCATCATCAGCATCAACATCATCAACATCATCAACATCATCATCATCATCATCATCATCATTACCACCACCATCATCATCATCAACAACAACACCACGAACATGAACATGAACATAATCATCAGCAGCAGCAACAACCGCAGCATCAGCACCAACATCATTATCAGCATCAGCATCATCACCATCGTCATCATCATCACCACCGACACCACCATCCTCCTCATCCTCTTCCTCATCCTCATCGTCCTCATCCTCATCCACATCCGCATCCGCATCGTCATCTTCGTCCTCATCATCCCCATCACGGCTCTCCCAAACTTGGGGGCAGCAGGTGTCGCAGGCGCAGCCCTCCCGTGCCCCCTCGAAACGCCGCCACCCAACATGCTCGGCTGGCAAAGTGGCGGGACCTGCCGCAGGTAGCTGGATATACTCCTCAGAATCTGCCCTCTGCCCTTCACTTGCTTTCCAAAACTACGGGAACGAACGATGACATAAACATAAAAACTAGGAGGTCCGCGCGGTTTTCTCGGATCAGCGCTAGATCCCCCTCCCTGGCGCGCGGAACGCGCCAGGGGCGGCGCTGGAGGCGCCGCCAGGGGGGCCCCAGCGCCGATCCGAGAAATCCGCGCGGACCTCCGAGTTATTATGTTCATGTCATTGATCGTTCCCCTGAAGACGACTCCCTCGCGCACGGGCGGTTCTTGCTGCTACTCGTTGCTTGCCCGAATCGCGTCAGCCGTTGAGCGTTCTTCGTTCGTCCCAGTCGGAGCTATCCGTCAAAGCACGCTTCTGCAAGCCGCTGCTCGCCCACTCTTGAGGGAGGCCGGCGGGATGGGGGGGCGCACAAGAGCGGCCGCGACCCTAGCAGGCAGTTGCCTGCCAAGCGCACCTCCGATGTGGTGTGTATGTTGAGCACCTCCGGCGGAGACTGTCGCGGGCCGCCCGTCCAAGACTCTGGCAGGACGGGCTGGGACGGAAAGACGGGCGAGCCTATGACTCTTATTGACGAATAAGACCTGGACGGCGACGAGCAAGGGTAGGGAGGGAGTCGATGATGGGGAGGAGAAGGGGTGGGAGGGTGGGACAGGCATGGGGAAGTACGGGAACGTGCGAAGAAGGGTGGGGGCCTAGGGAAAGCAGGGTGCGAGGAAAATGGTGATGGTGCTGGTGGCGGTGATGATGATGACGAGAACGATGCTACTGATGGTGATGATGATGATAATGATGGTTATGCTCATATGATGATGAAAACGATGATGGCGCTAATGCTGAGGATGGTTATGATGATGCTGATGATGATGCTGGTGATGGTGGTGGTTGTGGTGATGATGATTACGATGGGGGCGCGACGGAGGATGATGATGATGAGAATGAATGTACGGATACGGATACGGATGACAATGATGATGATGATGCTAATGGTGATGATGATGATGCTGTTGCTGCTGCTGGTGGGGATGGCCATGTCCATGTGCATGTCCGTGTTGTTGATGATGATGTTGATGCGGTTGATGATGGTGATGATGGTGACGATGGTGATGACGATGATGAGGATGATGAGGCTAGAACCGAATAAAAGCCATCGGAGGCGGCGCCGTCAGTCCCACGCTCTCGAATGCCTTTCAGACCGGGCAACACCCGAGCTGAACAAACTGCGATGCGCGACCGTGCCTCTCGCAGCTCGCAATTGCTCACAATCGCCGCCGCCATGCACCCGAAAAAAAACCGTGGAGCCACGCCCTGGTCGGCCGCGCTCCAGCTCTCGGAAAACCTTGAGCTCTTTTCTGGGCTTTGACCAATGCGGTGCGCCTCGAGATGTCGCGAGTCCCCCGTGCCGAAGCTGGCCTCTTCGGAAGCCCCGAATGCCGCGAACGATCTCCCCGCAAGCTTCGCAACTCGTTCGGGGGAGGAGGAGCGGGGGAGGGCTGCGGGGAACAAAACAAAGGAGGCTTAACATCCGAGGGCGGAAGAGGAGAGGGGGTCTCCTGGCCCTAAGGGCGGCCTGGCACAGCTTGCTGCTCAGTATCTCAAAATGTCGTCGTCATCGTGCCTCAGGCCTCTCGAAGGCCATCTCCTCCAAGTTCGATCGAACATCGCACCGTCGAGCTCCTGGAGCCCCGTGTGGATCAATCTCTCGGGGCGGTCCCTCAGGGCTACTCTCTGCTTGTAGTCGCCCCCCCCCTGGATCAGCGAGATCAGCGCGGATGCCATGTTCTGCTCGCCGCCTAACGCCAGTACTAGCTTCATCTTCCCCCCCTCGCTGCACACCGTGACCTTCGCCAGCGGGGCCACCTTGCTTGCCGTGGTCTCGGGGCTATGCTGATTTGCGCGCCTCGCCTCACTGCCCTCGGTCATCAGCCCCATCCACCGCGCCCGCGTGGCACGCCGCCGAGCTCGTGCCCGTCATCCTGATCGTACCGTCGCTCTGCTGCTTGTTGTTGCAGGCCCAGTTGTCTTTTTCGCCGCGCATCCACGCGCGCGCGCCCGCCCCTGCGCCTCTGCTACCATCTGCGCCCCCGAAGACATGATGACGATGATTATTTCCAGCGCGATGATCTCGATCTGTCGCTGTCGCTGGGCCACGCGCAGCAGCGACCGCCTCTGGGTCGCGCCCGTCTCGCCACAGTGCCCAGAAGTGCCCGGGGGTGCCTAGCCCAATAGCCCTATATCCCTATAGCCCAAGAGCCCAATCGGCATATATCCCTATAGCACTATAACCCTATAGCCCCATAGCCGTACCTATACGACCACCCTTCGGGTGATAAAGAGGTTCGGGGGGGAACCAACGTCTCACTCGATCGGTCTCACTATCGATCTCAGTATCGATCTCACTATCGGTCTCGCTCGATCGATATCACTCGATCGATCTCACTCGATCGATCTCACTCGGTCTATCTCATTCGATCGATCTCACAATTGATCTCACAATCGATCTCACAATCGATCACACAATCGATCTCACATTCGGTCTCAATATCGATCTCAACATCGATATCACAATCGCTCACAATCATCATCATCATCATCATCATCATCATCATCATCAACATCATCATCATCAACATCAACATCATCACCAACATCGTCATCATCATGAGGGCACCGTCATCATCATCATCATCATCATCATCATCATCATCATCATCATAAACATCATCATCAACGTCAGCATCATCATCGGGACAACATCATCATCATCACCATCACCATCTCATCATCAACATCATCATCATCGGGACAAAGTCAGCGTCATCATCATCAGCAGCATCATCATAATCATCATCATAATCGGGACACCATCATGATCACCATCGTTCTCATCATCAACATTATCATCAACATCGTCATCATCCTCGGGACACCATCATCATCATGATCATCGCATCATCATCATTATCGACATCAACATCATCAACAACATCATCATTGGGGCACCATCATCATCATGAGCAACATCATCATCAACATCGTCATTATCATTATTATCATCATCGGGACACCATCAGCATCACCATCATCATCACCATCATCATCATCAGCATCATCATCGGGACACCATAATCATCAACATCATCATCATCACCAACATCATTATCGCCGGGACACCATTTCCATCAACATCATCATCACCAACATCATCGGAATCATCATCATCATCAGGACACCATCATCGTCATCATCATCCACATAATCATCATGAGCATGATCATCCTCATCATCGAGACACTATCATCATCATCATCGACATCATCATCAACATCATCATGATCTCATCGGGACACCATCATCATCATCTCATCATCATCATCCTCATCCTCATCCTCATCCTCATCATCATCCTCATCCTCATCCTCATCCTCATCATCCTCATCATCCATCATCATCATCATCATCATCATCATCATCATCATCATCATCATCATCATCATCATCATCATCATCATCATCATCATCATCATCATCATCATCATCATCATCATCATCCTCGCGGGACACCGCGGGACACCGGCGGGACACCGCGGGACACCGCGGGACACCGCGGGACACCGCGGGACACCGCGGGACACCAGCGGGACACCGCGGGGCCCCGCGCCCCGGATGAGAAACATTTGGTCCGGCCGCGCCTCAGCCACAGGACACCGCGGGACACCGGCGGGACACTGCGGGGCCCCGCGCCCTGGAAGAGAAACATTTGGTCCGGCCGCGCCTCAGCCACAGGAGACTTTTCTCGCCCGCCCACGCAGCTTCGCCTCGCACGCACGGCACGCACGAACACGAAACCGAAACCGTTTTCCCGGTGGGGGGCTCGCCGTTCCACTTCGATCTCACCCCCTCACCTCCGATAGCCCTATAGCCCAATAGCCCAATAGCCCAATAGCCCCATAGCCCCATAGCCCCATAGCCCTATAGCCCTATAGCCCTATAGCCCTATAGCCCTATAGCCCTATAGCCCTATAGCCCTATAGCCCTATAGCCCTATGGTCCTAAAGCCCTATAGCCGTATATAGCCGTATATAGCCCTATAGCCCGAACAGCCTTATAGCCCTTAGCCCTATAGCCCTATAGCCCTGTAGCCCTATAGCCCCATAGCCCTAAAGGCTTCTAGCCCTATATCCCTATGGCCACATCGCCCTATAGCCCTATAGCCCCATAGCCCTAAAGCCCTAAAGCCCCACAGCCCCCCCAAATTCTGATTGGTTTTTTTCTCTGGTATCATTTGTGAAGGCTACCCATCTTTACCATCGCTTTCGACAGTAAGGAACGAAGGTCCTTTTTGGCGCCAGCTCTTGGGGGCCTCGTGTAGCCTCTCGGGCACTCTTGGGAGCGTCTGACCCTGACCTTCCCGAATGCCTCTTCCATCGTGGGGGTCGTCGTCCAGGGTCGGCGGCACCGGCCATGAGGCCTTAGCAATACGGAACGAATATTTTTTGGGGGCGCCAATAGCGCCTGGAGGCAAGAGGAGGGCTAGCTCGGCCACGGAATGACCTAAGGAACAGCGAGCCACTTCCGAGCCCAAAGCGGTCCTCAATGCAGCGTCTTGACTGTACTCAGTGAGTGTGGAGGAAGGAGGGGTGGGGAGGGGAGGAGAGGAGCGGCGTAATGGGGGAGGAGGGGAAGGGAGAAAGGCGAGGGGGGCTGGGGAAGAGGGGCGACGGCAGGTGGGACATGGAACGGATGAGCGGGGGGGAGAGGAAGACGGGGTTGAAGGACGGGGCGAGAAGTAGGGGGGAAGACCTCAGAGGCCCACTGCCCATAGAAGGGCACTCGGGAGGGCGCCTATCAGGGAGAGAAGCTTTTGTTCCCTGACAGGGGTGACGAGCCCTGCAAGGGACCCCTCCAACACAAAAAAACACCCTTCAGCCAGGTCTGTCTCGGTCGAGAGAGCCGATCTCTGGAGGACCTCAGGCGGAGGAGGATGAGGAGGAGGAGGAGAACGAGGAGGAGGAGGGATAGGTGGAGGAAGAGGAGGAAGAGGAGGAAGAGGAGGAGGAGGAGGAGGAGGAGGAGGAGGAAAAGGAGGGGTTGGGGAGGTGAAACCGAGAGTGATGGAAAAAGTGGGGATGAAGGGGGTGGGGCGCGGAGGAGGACTGAAGGATCGCCCGGCGGACTCTCTGTATACCTGGTCGGAACAGGAAACGCAGCAAGCATCGGATGCTGGGCGCTCGTGGGCAATTCCGCGGTACGGCGACGGCTGGCATCGCGTCATACCGAATGGCGGAAAACATGCGCGAGGCCGGTGCGGACGATACAGTCAGCCTCCGTAGAACAAGGAGGCGCGGTAAGGATGCAAGGGCCTTGAAGGGACATGTTAACGTTTTCTCAAACGAGATTGGCCAGCGAAGGTCACCAAGGGTGGGCCGACGGGGGCCGACGGGACAGGGATGCAAGACGGGTCGCCTTGGAACGTTGCTCACC